GAACCGGGGCCCTCTGGCGTCCCAAGCCAGTTCTTAAACATCGTGCCACTCGGCCGGCTCCGGATTTCTTTACATTAATATTTATAGCTGGCTGCTATATGGTTTTCTCCACAATTTTGCTCATTGAGAGGTAAAGATCTCTGTAGCAGTGAGAACCTGTCCAGAGCCATTCCCCTTCCTTTGCAAGTCACTGTTTGGACCTGTGTGCTGGAGAAAATTTGGTCTCCGCAGGTTGGCTGACCTTACAGCTCTGAATAAGAGGTCACTCTGCTGCAGAGCTAACGCCTGTGACCTTACAGTTCTCTTGTGTCCTTGGGTCGTTCAGAAAGCTGGAAACGTCCTGCTGGATCATCCCCTACACCTAAAAAGCTTCATTTAGGGGGAAAAATTCATACCAAGTTGAACTATTAGGTTTACTTTATTAGTTTGCTGTTTTTATTATTATGATTTTTGTCTTCATGGCTGACACAGGGCTATTCTTAGTATTAAAAAGAAATTAATAAAAGTTAGGTTTAGGTAAGATCATGAAGATGCTTGATAGTCACGTAACTGTAGGTGTTATTTATTTTGTTGGCTTTTTGTCTTTTTGTTTGTAAAAGTGAGAGTTGGACCAGACCAGTTTTTTTTTTAACTGTTTTTCTTCCAAGTGAGAAAAGGCCTAGAACATTTTCTTCAAATAAATTATAAATACCCCATATCTAAAACAGGTAAAAGCAGAGCTCCACTGATTCAAAACTTTCTTTTTTGAGAAATTAGTATTCCATTTCTTTTCTGGCAAGAGGTACATAAGAGGTTTTTTTTTTGCTCTAGTTACCAGGAAGCTCAAAGCTCAATATGATTCTATGATTATAGACTATGTTAGTCCTTATAATTAGCATATTTGCTCCCTCCTCTTTTTCTTTTTCATAATTTTTAAAAGTTGTTTCAGATTTATTCAGATAATCCATATCTAAACTGTAGTTATTGTTTTTGAACCCATTTCTTTCTTGCAAATCTATTTTTAGAATTGCAAAGGACCTTATGTGCATTATGTGATTTATGCAAAGTCAGGCATTGGAACTGAGGGTTCTTGACTCTCTTCATTAACTCCTTCCTCCACTTTAGTAGCTGACTTTAAAGTCTGACAGCATTTACATTTATAAAAGTCTTTGCTAATGTCTTATTTTTTATTCTAGTTTTGAGATAAAATTGACATAAAGCAATGTATAAGTTTAAGATGTACAGCATAATGATTTGACTTAAATATATCATGAAATGATTACCACATTAAGTTTAGAAAAAAAATAAAAGTATGTTTTTTGTATTGATCAGCTTCAAATCTCTTTTGGAAAAGGACAAGTGTAGTCAGTTCAATCTATGTTTCTCTTTATGTTCCTAAGCGATATCCATTATGGTAAAACCTATAATAACTGATCAACAGTGGAATAAAGCAAGGTTTCTATCTATTGTTTACAGCCATGCGTGATCACGATAACAGTGCCTTTGGAAACTAGAGTGAAATATGAATTTGCTCACTTGGAGTGTTTTCAGTCTCAATAGCCTAAGAGTTTTAGTTACAGCACAGAATTTTGGGATGATACAAAGCTGAAGAAGAAAGAGTCTATTGATCAGTCTGCCCTTAAAAAGTACAGCCAAAGATTTTCCTTGTTGATTGGAAGTAAACACTTTCATTAGAAGCTGGCAGTACCGTTTTAACAGTTACTGGATTTAGTGTGTACTCTTAAATCAACATTTGACAATTCTGTGTAAGGTCTAATTTATGTACCTGGTATAGGCTGGGTCTCTGCAAAGATCAATAACATACAGTCTGTCCTTAAAGAATTCCGTCCTGTCCCATCTGGGCTAAGAATAGCTTAATTTACTGGCAGGAACTCAGCAAGTTAAAAGGACATTAATACCTCCATTAGCTATTTTCTCGTAGGGTTTTGATTAAGTTGCTTGCCCAAGCCAACAAAGAGGGAGCTGTTCATTAGATTCTCTTGGTGTCATCCCTAGAGATTCATTGAGTGAGTCTAGAGTGTGGTCCTGCAATTTATATTTTATTTTTTTTCATTTTCAGACACCATATATCATTGCTCCTGATGAGTGAGGTGCACATACACTTTTTTTCTACCTCCAAAGATTTTGGTTTTTTTAAGTTAGGTTATGCTAGTTGGCTTTTCTATAGTTCCTCTGAAAAATCACTCACCACTATTAAGTAAATCCTCCCTGGCACTCAGCCTGGAGCGGGGCAGAGAATTGAACAAGAACACAGGCCTGCCTTGTGAGTCCGTGGCCTGCGGCTGCTCTGGTGGACAGCTTCCTGTCTCTGAGGTGGCTGTCCCTCATGCACTATCTAATGTAGACCATAATGCCTGTTGTTTAAGCTAGATTGTCCCAGATATACCCTCTCAATTTGGTGAAAATCTGTCTAGCATTTTCAGCATGATAGAATAATAAAAACTATGTTTTAAATGTCTAAATTTAGATTGTTGAAGTTGATACTTTTTTAAAAAAAATAAGGGATGAATTTTTTTATAAGCTTTCTTTCTGTGGGAATAATAATGTTCTGTATCTTGCTCAAAAGATTGTTGTGTGGATTAAATGAGATAGAAAGTGATTAGAACAGTGCCAGACACATAGCAAGTGATCAGTAAACGTTAATGCATTATTACTGTTAAAGTTTCCCTGACTATTTAAGTTTACTCAAGTCTTCCTGGTTTCTTGATGTCAAGAAAATAACATGTGGAACGTTTTTATTTGAACCTGTTAACACTGTCTTTTGAACTAAGATCTTATAAACTTAAAAGTTCAGTTTATGACAGATAGATTAGGCAGATGTGAATGAAGACTGGCGCGTACATTTCGCTTGGTGAGTGTGTGTGTTTAAAAAGGTTGGTTTGAATAGTAAATGATTGGAAGTTGGTAAACGTCGATTTTGCAACCAAGACAAGGTGGTAATTACTGTGAAATAAAGACTCCAAAGTGCAGCTCCATGACTTACTCATATTAAAAAGACATGAATCAAGTTAATGAGTTTGAAGTTAACTTTTCCCCTGAAGCTGCTGATTGATACTAAAGCATTATAGGTAGTTGCCATAAAGCAGAGGACTTCCAAGTGCCGAAGAATTCTGTGTCCGCCATTTCCTACCCGTGCGGTTAGGGACCCGGTATTTTTGTGGACATAGCCTCATTGCGGGGAGGTCAGGCAGTCTGTTTTTAATAGAACTCTAAGCCTGATGATTTATTTTGTACGAAACTTGTTGGTGTATGACTTGAAATCATTAATTTCCCACCAGTACATATTGGGTCGTCGGGAAAGTCATGACGCATTTTTGCATTGAAAAACACAGGAAAATACGTCATGACTTTCCCAGCGACCCAATACTGTAGGGTTGGTTTTCATGGAAATACTCATCTTTATAAATATTGGCTTTTTTAGTT